TTTTTTTTTGTAGAACTGGGGATTGAACTCAGGCCGTTGTGCTTGCCAGGGAAGCATTTATTCTACTGAGCCATCTCCCCAGCCCCTAAAGCAAGATTCTTTTCCCAACTCACTAATTGGCCTTTCAGAAATGTGTTATGAATTCACACCTGTACAGCTCTTAGGAGTATGACATTCTTTCAAATTCTACATTTTCAGCATCTTACAGATAACTTTGTACGCATTGGTAATCACTCTCTATATCTTTTGCTATTTATATTGCTCTGCCAGCCCTACACAACCACAAACCTACTTTCCACATCTATGGATCTTTCTATTTTGAACATTTCACAGAAACAAAACCACACAATATGTAAGTCCTTGTGATTGGCCCCTTTAGTTTAATGATGCTTTCAAGGTTCATCCATGTCAGTACTTCATTCCTTTTCATAGTAGCATAGTATTTCATTGTGTGGTTATATCACATTTAGCAAAAATCATTCAGCACAGGCAGGTGTGGTGGCATATGTCTGTAATTTTAAGACTCTGGGAAGTTAAGTCAGGATGATCATAAGTCTGAGCTTACTTTGAACAAATTAGCAACTTAGTGAGACTTTTTCTCAAAATAAAAAAATATATATATAAAATTAAAAGGACTTGGGATGTAGCTCACTGTGAAAGCCATGAGTCTAATTCCTGGTATTGAAAAAATATCACTAGTTCACAACCATCTATATGTTGTCATTTATCATTGTATTTATATGCATTCACTTGGGTATATAACTAGGAGTAGAATTTCTGGATCATATATTAACTCCATGTTTAATAACATGAGATCTTACCACTCCGTTTTCTTGAATGGTTGTACCATTTTATAACCATGCTCACGATGTATAAGGTTCTGATTTCTCTACACAGTTGTCAACATTTGATATTATTTACTTTTAAAATTATAGCCACCCTAGTGGTACAAGCCACCCTTGTGAAGAGGGAACTCATTGTGGTTGGTGGTCATTTCCTTGACTTATGAAGCTGAGTACCTGCCCATGCTGTTCAAGGGAGCTCTGGCCCCCTGAGGGGTGGATGCTATCTTTCTTTCTTCTGAGCCTCTGCTTTGAGGGCAGCTACTCTGCAGCCAGGACAGAAGCCAACCCTCAGATGCCTCATCCTGGAGCAGCACAGAGTAGGAACAGGAGCAGGAACATACTTGATGACATCACTAAAAGGCTAGAGCACGTGGAGTTATTGTGCTTTCATGCTTAAGCCAGGGAGGCTTTTGCCCTGTAACTGTGCTATAGAATTTCCTAATCAACACAGTAGCACTCTATTGTTATTACAGACATTGCTATTACTGCTGATAACAGAACTTCACCATCCTATGTTCTGTTGACGTATGACTGACTGCTCCAAGGCAGGGCACTGGGCCCAGCGCAGGTCACTTAGGTCCATTTGAACTGTGAATAAGGCGATGTAGCTGTAGCAGCCACAGAACTTAAACTTAGAAAACAGTGTCAGCCATGCTTCCTGACACATGAAGGATCAACAAAGACAAAGGGCGTTTTTACGCAGAAAGCAGCAAAATACATAGGGAGAGCGGGGTGACTGGTGCCTGTCTCTACTCCTCCTGCTCTAGGAGTCTTGCACTCTCTTCTTCTTCTTAT